GCGCAGGTGCGAGTGATACGGATTTTTTTGCAAAATTTACAGATTTTTGAGGCTCTTTAAACAGGTAAATGTCCGATGAGGTTGACATGTATGTGAATGTCTGTAAGTGTAAAGCGCTTTTGGGGTCCGGAGGGACTTGATAAAGCGCTCTATAAGTTCAGTCCATTTACCATTTACCTCAACTCATTGCTATGGCTAAGCACTGCTAACAAACAATAACTGAGCTCTGTGTGGTATTTCCTCCATAGAAACAGCATTTWAACAAGTCTTCTTGTAAACACTGAAAAGTACTACGTGTACTAAAAGTACATTTGAAATATTCTATAAAAGTAAAAGTAGGAGAGTTTTATTCACCATTAAGTTGTGGTAAGTCTTGAACTCTGAACTCTCCCACTTTCTGWCAGGGAATTCCCATGSCTAATCCACATGCTTTATGGGAGATTTAGTTTATGGTCAAGGCTGGCTTTAAAGCAGCTTATTTTGAGACATTAAYACAGAGTTATTCRACTAAATTGCTCAGGGAGCTACAATAATTCAAAGCCAACAGCTCAGTGGCAGGGCAGGTATCATTATCCTTCACCTTTGAAATTTGTTTTCTTTGTTTCATCGAATCATAAATTTAGTTTTCTATTGATATAAATGGCGGGTTGGATGAAAGTCACCTGAGCTGTAAAGCTCTCTATTTACTATGTTCCTACCCTCACCTATGGCCACAAACTTTGGATAGTGACATAAGGAACAAGATCATGGATACAGATGATCAAAATGAATTTTCTTGTCAAGGTAGCTAGACTGTCTCTTAGAGACAGGGTTCAGTTGACTTRTCAGAGTAGAGCCACTTCTCCTCCACATTGAGAGAAGCTAGTTGAGGTGGTTCAAGCATCTGTTAAGGATGCCTMCCTAGAAGTGTTTCAGGCATGTCCAACTGGGAGGAGACCCAGAAGACCCAGAACAAGCTTGAGATGATATCTCTCTCGGCTGGTCTGGGAACACCTTCATCCTCCTGGAAAAGCTGGAAGAGGTGGCTGAGGAAAGACAGGTCTGGGCATCCCTGCTCAAACTGCTGCCTCTGCTACCTGAATCAAAAGAAAATACAAAGTTCCTACAGCTTAAGGCAAGTTAGATTTAAGACTTTTTGAGACCTCTTTAATGACACTTAAAATGAAATTTAAGACCAACATCACAATAAACACAAATGGAAAATAAATCTGTTAGCAACAATTGTACCCAAATGTTTATTTTAACACAAAACAACTGAGAGGCATTCTGTAAATTATTTAAAAAACATAAATAAATGTTACCAATTGTTTAAATATTTGAGACAAATTACAATAATCCCACTTACAATTTGTTTACATTTTTAAGACTTCTGAAAGATTAATTTAGAATATTTTAAAGCTAATTAAGGCCTTATTTTTGGATTTATGAATTCAATTCCTTTTAAGACTTTTAAAGAATCTGCTGATGTATGAATGGAACGATCATAAACTTTTGAAATAAGGATGCAATGCCAACCCAAACAGGCTGACCAACCACTACATCTAATATTGATTTAGAGTTTATGAGTCAGAACATAGAGTGCATCCTCACCCCATGGTTGAAGACTTTCTGTAAAAAAGAGTGAAACATCATAGCTGTAAAATCTGTAAAAATCATAAATCCTTAACTGTGATTTTGTAAAAATCATAATAGATGTAAAAAAAATTTAAATTAGAAACACTAGTCTAATCATGTAAAGTCTAAGTAACTTTGACCTGTTTAAACTTTAAATGATATTTATGTAAAAAGTGTTACATGATTATTAGCACCCTTGAAATATGAAAAAAAATTGCAGAAGTGTACACTCTCTTTTGTCTTTGTTATTGCTTCAAAGCTGTGTAACACTTAAAGCATCTGATAATTAAATATTAAAGACCCGATGATCAAAAAGATCAATTTAAGCCGCCAGAGCATTGCTGCTATCCAACATCCTGCTAATTTTAGTTTGTAGACAAAAATATTTAAATCAAGTCCAATAAGCTAACTTAAATAGATCCAAAAACAGAACAGGGAAATCGTCTTCTGCAAAACGTAAATAATGACAACTTTTTCTGAAGTGAAATTTCCACAATGAGGTGTCTTTATCAGGATCCAAACAGATTTTTACGACTTTGCTCTCTGATCCAGTACAAAGGCTCCCAGTCGTTGTAGCCTTGTTTGTCGATTCTCTGTCAGACATTGTTTGGTTTGAAGTACTTTGAACGGGTATTAAACCATATGTTGGAGCTGTTAGCAAACTTGGGGGCTTTACAGACGGCAGACGCACACAGGGATCCTTGTGTGCCTCCTTTGTCTATGTTTCCTGTGTGACAGTGATCTGCAGGCTGTTATCATACAAAAACCAGGAACAGCRACGCAAAATCACACAAATCCTCACAAAAGACATCTTGGAAAGGTGTGCGTTCTGAGCGTAAATACATTTTAAGGAAGTAACACACCTTGAAGTTTTAAAGGCCCTCTGGGAGGAGATCAAACAGCAAACACAGCCGGATCAACATGCCCAACTTGATTTATTTCCCTTCACAGCRAGCTCTATCTGTAAGGTGACACCTTTCCATCACAACCTCTAACAGACAACACCAGTATACACGGCATACAGTATGTGATGTCATGAGTCAGGGCGGTGTACACATTGACATGCAAACACCAACACACCCAGGTTCCGTCTGGGCAGATGCGAGTTATAGAGGTTAACACTCGCTTCTGTGTTCCCACTAGCCCAGGTAATTTTGTTATTCTGTTTGTGCCCCCTGTCTACACCCACCCCTGTCTGCTGTACATATTGGTCCCAGCTCTGGGAGGAAGCAGGCMTTTACTTATACAAAACCTTGAGGAAATCCCTACCAATCCTCAGGGCTCACGTTCAGCAGCGCCCAAAACACAAAGGCTATGCAAATCTGCCCAGCCCGCGTTTATCTACCCTCGGTTTCCGTTTGCACCACGGGAACCAGCATTGTGCCGTGCGTGGCGATTATCGCATGTAATTTACATAGAATACGCACAGGAAACAGTGTGCCGATCTCTAACAATGCAGCAAAGAGCCTCTATCCGCTCAGGAGCTATCTGACGRTAGAGTAAAATTACAGGTTTAGCTGTGGGGTATTAAACCTACAAGGTGTTTTTTATTTCTGGTATTCAGGGAACACTATTTGCTTCAAATGTTGCTTGTTTATCTGCCTTGTTTGTTTTATAACCCAACTCAAGCAGCCGTTTTCCATGAAGGCTGCATCTTCAGCTGGGCTAATCTGCCCTATGCCTGTGTTTCCTTTGTCACTGAATCCATGTATCAACACAGTGAGGTGCAGCCAGACTGAGGTGTGGAACTGCACAAAGAGCATGTGTGTGACTGACTCAGCTGACATGAGACATGTTGTGAGTGTGAGCAATGGAAGTCATAACAYGGCAGCACGGCTTCATCCACACAAAGGCTGGTACTGTAAGTACTCCATCAGGAACATGAGGGTATGACATGAGGGTGAGATGAGAGATCGAATTCCTGATGTGGACGCTTCACCCGCAGGCCTGCTTCAGGAGGGAAACAACTAGCTGCCTACRTTTGAATAGGGGTCATGCAGAGGTCACTGTATAATGAGTCACCTTTAAGGCAGACATAAGCTGCATGATGAAAGCCTGGTTTACAGCTGAGTTTTCATAAGTTTAGACTCGTTACATTAAACATTTTTAAAAGCTGCAAAGTCAAGAAATGTAAAATTCTCTGCAAAARTGTGTTTGAAAATAGATCAGAATTATTAAAAATGACAGTGGCTTTCTGCAAAATCATGCGTGCTCGAACTCTGAACAGTTTGTGAACTCACTAAAGAATCTGCTGTTTTGACAGGTTAAAGGATGCAGTAGTTTCCGTAATTTGGTGTGGGGTTCTGTGGCAGRGCTATGAACAATAATATCTTACCTGTTGTARGTAACACTTTGTACAACCTTTGTTTGGAGAAACAAGATTAGTTTTGACAAGACAACAGAGTAAAAGTCATTTCTGCTATATTGTGACTCCAGTCTTAACAAAAGATTGTAGTGATTCATTCAAAAGTCATTTATTATATTTACATCTACCATGAATTTCACGTTTCATGGTTATTCCAACTGAAACACAATGGTAGACTCACAGGCTACACAGGAAGAGTARTTAGATGCTGCTACTATTAACTTCAGGATTCAAAATAAATTAACGGTTAATGCTTAAGTGTTTTAAAAACATATAAAATAGTTTATATATTAGCATTTATATGAATCACTCAAAAATGTTTTAATACAGCAGCAATCCAGTGTGGTCTAAGGTTAAACTGTTAGCTCATCAATCAATTTTAAACTTCGATTCTCCAAACTGAGGCTGTTCAAAAACATATCTACAACYGATAAGATTGTTCATTACATCTGACTCAGATAAACAATGACTGCTGCAGAACTCACGCATAATTACAATTTATTTTAAATATAGTGGAGCATTACTCAAGCAGACATCCATCTGATTCAGTTCCAAGAAGAAAAACTAAAGCACACTGGCTTCATTTATGGAACAGGGATCCTTTCTGAACAGCTCTCTGAAAATCAGTCACAAGTCTAGCATGGGTTTCTCACAGCACAATGGAAACCCTTACAGGCTTATCATCCTCTTCATCTTTATCATTTAATCACTTGTTGTATGATGCAGCTCAGTAATCTGTTAAAAGTATGACACAAGTGACTTTTTTTTTTCTTAAAGAATAAAAAAAGAGACAAAACTAAAAATCAGGCCACATTCTACAAGAAACACTTGGACTGCCACTCTGTTACATCTAAATTAAAATACCCATAAAAATTAAATCCCGTTTCACTGGGTTAAAATTTGATTTGGATCTGAATGCTTTAATTTTGCCCAGGAGCAAAATCTACAGAGCTCAAATTTATACACAATGCTCTTGGTACACCGCCATGACAAAAAAACAAAAACCACACAACCACAAATATATGACTGTTACCAACTGCTTTGGGGTTTATTTTACAATTGAGAAAAAAAGGAAACAAACCAACTGGTGCTAAAAAGTTGTTTTGTTTTTTTTCTTTTTTTTCTTCTTTTTTTTACAATATTGTCAACAAAACATTGAAATGTATAGTCATTGTGCATCGCTTATTTATTTTCCACACCATTTCATGCACCAAATTGGATGCAAGTATAATTAAAATCATTTCTGTAAACTGAGCCAAAGAAGCTTACTTTGTATTTTCTTTAAAAAATGACATTTTGTAGCTCTACAGCATATATCTATGTACACCATCTGTTTTTATTTTGTTTTTCTTTTTGCATATAAAATGACAATATAAAAGTTAGAGAATGCACACACCTTAAGATACAAAGAATGTTGGAGCCATTTTAAATGGTAAGATATGTCTTATGGAGCACTGACTTTTCACTGGTGGTCATTTACATGGATCAGACTCATCTCTTTACAGCTGAAGAACGCCACACAATTTTATAAAGAGAAASTTGCAACAAACCATACAACTGGAAAATTGCTATAAAGTGATACTTCACAGCAAGGATTTTTTTTTTCTTTTTTGTTTTGGAGCAATCTTGCATACAAATGTGTTTCACTTTCATTGATTGACTGTAACCAAGAAGCAGCATTTCAGTTTTTCCAAAAGTTCTTTTTCTTTTTTATACACTGACAGATTTATCATCAGGCCATTCATCATCGAAGAAAAACAAAACATTGTGGCAACAAAAAACCAAGGAGAAGAGCAATGGAGGGGTGTGATAATCCTTGATCTTTGTTAAACAGATTTTGACAAATGCAGGACGTTTCAAATCATGTTCTCTTCACAAATTCTAAATTTAACTGTGTAAGGTGCYGCCGTACTTCAGTCTTTAAGGATATTCATTTCAATCTTTTGGTGTACATATTTAATGTCCTTTTGTCAAGTACTATACAGTTCTCTCTCTTCCACCACTTCCTTCCACTCACCACTCACACTATTGAAGCAGTAGTTGTATTTTGCCATGAAAAGAATAAAATCTTGTTTAATCTTGTTTCACTAAAATACATGCACAGATCAGACAAATAGCATATAAATATTTTACAAAATAAGTGTAAAAAAAGGCTTGGCAAAACAAAATGAAAATAAACAACATTTTAAAGAAATGGTCCAATCAGGCAGTTGTCACAACTAAAAATAGTAAGACATATTTTTTTTCTTCTTCTTCTGGAGGCTCATTTTGGCCCAGTGCAGTAACTGTGAACAATGTCTTTTTAGTGCAATGAAAATTTAGTCAGTTCCACAGCTGTCAGTCTTTCCCCTCAGCAGCTCACGGACTTACTTGATTAAACTTTCTACATTTTGTCAAGCTTCTCCAGTTTCTCCAGCGCGGTGACAAACACCAGGTGGTCCTCTGGAGACTTGCCGTGGGTCTTGCTAAGGTGCAGTTTGACTGCRTGCTTGCTGACGAATGTCCGATTGCAAAGTCTGCACTGGTACACAGAGCCCGTGTCGTCCTCTGGTGTGGTCAAGGCTGACAGTGGGCTGCCAAATGTCATTTTGTCTGTGATCACCTTTGAGGCAGCCTGCTGCTCCCGTAGGTGCTCCGCTGACAGTTTGGACAAGTCCTTCAGGCTGAAGCCCAGGTGAGATTCCAGGTGGCTGATGTAGGAGGAGGGAGTCCTGAACTGAGACGCACAGTCACCACACAGGAACACGGGCTGGCATGAGTCCATGTTCTTGAGAAACTTGGTACCCCCAGTCCGTCTCAGCTGATACTTCACGTTAGCCAGCCAGTGAGAAATGGTTGTCATTGAGAGACCTGTAAATTTACAGATGTGGACCCTTTCCTGAGGGCCCAGGTCAGTCATTGCGTACCGCCCCTCTGGAGTCTCCCTCAGGCTAGAAGCAAACTGTGCCTGCAGGATGAGGAGGTGCTGCGGATTCCAATTGGATTGCCTCCCTTTCCTCTTCTGCACCGGAGAGAGGTCCTCCAGGGCGTCCTCGAATGCACTGCCATCAGCATCTGACTTCTCGGAGATGGACGAAGGAGTTGAAGATTTGGGTGTCAGCCTTCCTGTGAGGTTCTTTACCATATCTGAAATGTCCATCAGAGCATTCTCTCGTAGAGGAGAGGAGACAGATTCAGGAAGGGAAATAAGGGGTTTGTTGCCGTTTACACTATTGTTGGTCAAAAGCATACAGCTGCTATTGTTATTGTTGCTGTTGGTGTTAGTAGTGGACTTGTTTTTACTCAGGTCTATGGGCTGGTCATCGTTTTCGTATAGCTGATAGTGGTTGGTGGGCTCAGCTGATTTGCCCTGAGTTGGGTTGAAAGCTGGTTTATCAATCATGCTGTTGCTGATTTTGTAAAGCATAGACAGTGGATCTGCAGCTGGGCCTACCGGTTTAGAAGCCTTCCCCAGATGTGTATTCATGATTGACTGGAGGGCACTGAGAGGGCTGATGAAAGGACTCTCAGGCGAGTGATCAGTGATAATGCCAAGACTGCTGCCGTTCATTACAGGAGACCGGCACGCCTCAGAGCCATTCTTTGAATGGTTGTTGTGGCCATCCACAAGGCTTTCTTTGGGYTCCTTTTTACAGATAATCTCTGAGTCTATACTTCCTGGGCTGACACTTCTCATACCAGATGATTTACCGACAGAGAGGTCATTTGGAGATGGTAAATGCTCTCTCAGTGCAGGAGAAGGAGATTTTACCACTGATGGAGGTCGACATCGTTCCAGGCTCACCATCTTCTCCTCCTTTTCTTTCTTAATGGTGGCAGGTTTTCCTGTCACTTTTTCCACAAGCTCTTCCATGGCGCTCACGTTACTTCTGAGGGGGGTTGGGGAGGAAGGACTTCGAGGTGAGTGGATGACTGAGTTAGGGTTACTTACAAGACCTCGTAGACCACTGTTAAACATTGGCTGCATCTGAACACTCTGGACTGTTGAGGGCAGAACAGTAGCTGAACTCTTCATGGCACCCTGCAGTTGGTAGGCAGCATGAATGCTAGGGTAGCCACCCCATGTGGGCGTGCCTGTCTGGGCCTTGCTGATGGCACTGGATACAGTGTTCTCTAATGATTTAAGAATATCTAAACCTTCTTTAGGCGTCTCCTCCAGATCTTCTTCTCTAAGGTATTTATAAGACGTAGTATCGGTTTCTGATTTCTCACTTGAGTCATCTTTCTCCTCCTTAATTTTTCTTTCCACTGGCTCACATCCTTCAACCTTTTCATCCTCAATTCCTTCCCTCTTCTCCTCTGATCCAGAGGAGAGAGCTGGGGACACCGGCTGGGACTTAACACTACTAGGAACAGGGAGTCGTGTGGTGGTTGGTGGAAGTGGTATTGACTGAATCTTTTCTTCCACCACTGGATCAAAGACCAGCTGTTTGCCTTTCTTAGATGCAGAGTTTGTAACCTTCAAAAARTGACCTGTAACCATCATGTGGGCAGTCAGTTGCTGTAATGTATCGTGGGAGCTCCCACATTCCATGCACTTAAGGATCTGAGCTTTACGAGCTTCAAATTGCCATGTGTAGCTGGCACCATTTTGGTAGCCATAGCGGTTGTTTGGTGTCACATAAGGGTTAGCTGCAGCTTTTGAGTCTTTGCCTAAATCACCAAGGGATACACTACCGCCACCACTACCAGCATGGACAGAGTCTGGGGAGCACGGGGAGACAATAGCTTCTTGGATAGCACGTTTTTTAGCTGAAGTTGGCACCAGTTTTGTAGCCAAGGCTGGCACTGGTTCTTTGAGAGGCACTTTCTGGTAATGCTTGGTCTTAATCATATGAACGCTGAGATCTTGTAGAGACTCAAAAGAGTGGCCACAGTACATGCACTTCAGCACTTTCTGGGCATCCTCTTTCCCTTCCATCTCCATCAAGGAACGCTTGCGTGGTTTGGACCAGCGCTTACCCTGATCCTCCTCCTTGTCCTTGTTGTCATCTCGATAGTGGCCYGTCTCGTTCATGTGGACTGTCAGACCCACCAGTGTGTCATAGGCAGCACTGCAGTCTTTGCAGCGAAACTTGCTTGCACCAGTGAAAACAGAGCCGTAAAGCTTGTTGTTCTGTCTGTAAAGCTGCACTGTGCTAAAGAGGCTAGGCTCGGGTAAAAGATGGTAGGGTGTTTGCTGAAGAGTTTTGGCAAGTGCTGCTTGGTGCCAGTCATAGGCCACACCACTCCCATTGCTGGCCCCTCCACTGCTGCTCCCACTGCTGCTGATTGCACTGTGGTTGCTAGCAGAGCTAGCTGTCGTGCCATTGGTATTGGCACTCACGCTGCCTGCATGGTTGACAGTGACAGCGGAGCTTTTACTATTGTGGTGACTGCTGGCCATGTTGATCCCACTGCTCTTATTTGTGGTTGTAGTTGAGGAGGCAGAGGCAGCAGAGACTGACTCGGGAGTCGGTAGCGTAGCATTGACACTGCCAGCAGCAGCAGCAGGCTTAGACTTCATGATGTCCATTGTAATGCTAGACCAAGAGGCATCCGAGATGAGATTTGCATAGACAGCTTTCATCTTTGCCAGGCTGTCCTGGAAAGACAGTCCATTGTTGGGACGAAAAGGCAGGGCAAGGCCTTCCCTCTCCTGACCGTCCCTGGAGGAGGTGCTCTTGAAGTCTGCAAGACGGTCGCTGGCATCACTAAGGGGAGAGCCATATCCAGCATCAGGGTTAGTACCATTGCTAAGTGGAGAGTCCCTGTAGCTAGGTGGCTGGCCTCCATCCACATCCTCCTCTTCCTCATTGCACAGGAATTCTGTGTCCTGGCCATCTAATGAGAGGCCATCATCTTGCAGGTGCTCCTCCTCATCGTGAGCGACTGTCTTAAGCTCATCCTCAGGCATATATGCTGGAGTACAGAAAAACAGAGGGGGGGGGGGGGAGAGGTTTTCTCAGTTAAATTGAAAATTTACAGAACATTAACAGGACCACTGACAAAATCATATGAAATGAATACTCAATGGAAGGAAATGTAGGCTTTTATTCTCATCCAGTGTGTGTCTATGTGRCTGTATATCAGTATGCATGAGTTGCTGTTTTCTTAAAACACACATGCACCTCTGAAAGGCAGTGGTGAAAAAAAAGCCTCCAAGGAAAAAAATAACTCACTGAGCTCCTGACAGTTGTCCTTTCCTTCTTAACTATCTATTTTTTTCCACACGTCTCATGTTCCCCAGGAAACAACTGGCTCTTTGGCCTTGTTATCCAGCTGCATGCTAGCATGTTCAATCTCTCTTTTCTCTTCTCCCTGAGCTTCACCGCATCTCTCTCCTCAAGCCCATAGATTTCAGCTTTTAACACTTTCAGGTAATACAATTGATTAGGGATTAGAAAAAAAAGATATCAGAGCCTATTCTAACCCACTCTAATGAGCAGAATGTCATTTTTATTAGAGCTAATAAGCAGGAACTGGCAAAACAATCAAAGTTGAAGTACCCACAGAAGGACAGAGATCGGGGCAAACAGCTTTGTGAATTTGTGTCACGACTGTTATGAGAATCAAAAAATGCTAACAAAAAGAACGAAATTTTCCAATTGCTAAAAGATGAAAATTTTGAGAAAAAGAACAAAAGAACATTTTGAAATGAAAATGAAAAAAAGTACAGGAATATCCGTGTGCTGGTGCTAGCTAGTGAGGACAATGCAAGYAGGAGTTAGCAAGAGAATAAGGGAGGAATAACAGCTGAATGAAAAGAAGATGTGGTGAAGAACAGTAACAAAAAGGGACAGGGAAGTGCTGATGGTGGAGAGAAAAAGAAGAGTAAGAGAGTGAAGCAGGGAGACAGGAAAGACAGCCCCCTGGTTTCTTCCTTTATCTCCTTCCTGCATGGTGAGATGTGTGTCCTAGATGCCAGTATCAGTCTCTCCTGATGAAACAGATGTGCTGTCAACTTCAAATGGCATGCTAACCTGTCACATCATAATCTAAGTGGACATAATACCTGATATATATACACTGGCACCATTTACTGCTGCCTGAGAGGAGATGGGTGGAGGAGGTGGGGGAAGGTGAGCAGCTGCACTATCAACTGTGACTGCATCATGATGTGCATATGTGTGTGCCTCTTTACGTTTGCCTCCCGTTGCCTTCATGCAGCTCAGAGATGTTTGCTCCTTAAACCTAAAGCCACTAACCATAATGCCACCCTATAAGTTTGTGTACTACTTATATGTCCCTTTCCAAATGAGCACGACTCTGCTCGGAAGCATGACAAGATTTCTGCAGAATGAGAGCACTACAGGAGAACCTGGCTGCGCTTCAATCCAGCTGACAGACGGAGACCGAGACAGTTTCTAAAACTCCTGAAAATCCCTAACACAGCAGATTAGCATTATGCGCTGTTCTCTCTTCAACACATCTGCAGAGCGTCTTCTGTTACAGAGCCATGCCTCTCACTAACATGCTTGCTGAAGAGTGGGCTATCAATACGCATCAGCCATTTAATACATACAAACCACCCCGAGAATGGTGATTTTTTACTTCACAAGCACAGAGGGAGAGTTCAAATGTACAGTAGGATTTACCTATGTGAGTAATTCATGTCAGCGGCAGCCAAAAACTGCCAAAGCCCAGTAGCTTTGCACATAAACACTCTCTCTCTCTCTCTCTCTCTCTCTCTCTCCCTCTCACACACACACACACACACACACACACACACACACACACACA